CCCCACAAAAAAAAGGTTAACTGCTCATTTCTGTCTAAGGGGGATTCTGTAAAACAGCTTTACTTTCCTGATCTCTGCTTACACCCCTCCCCCCCCGCTCGTGAGGACCCCATATTATAACCCTAGACGATAACCAGCAGTTACCCCTTGCAGTGCAGAGGTAGCTCTCAGTATTTTTGTTTTCTTGTACCCGGAGAGAAGCTATAAACCCATTAAGGTTGAAAAAGAAAGGAAGGTTAAAGAAGGAAAGGAAAGGAAGAGAAGGACGGACGAAAGGGAGGAAAGGACAAATGAGGGAATTGAGGAAGGAAGGGACAAAGGAAACAATTATGGAAGAAAGGAAAGAAAGGATGTAGTAAGGGAGGAAGAAAGGGAGAAAGGAAAGGACAAAAGGAAGGAATAAAAGGAAGGGAGGAGGGAAGGAAGAACATATGAGACAAAGAAAGGAATGAAGGGAGGTAGGAAGGGACAAAGGAAGGAATTAAGGAAAGAAGGAAGGAAGAGAGGCAGGGCGAGAGGAAGGGAGAAAGGAAGGAATGAAGGGAGGGAGGAGGGAAGGAAGAAAGAAAGGGACAACAGAATAAATTAAGGAAGGGAGGGAGGAAAGAAGGAAGGAACAAAGAAAAAATTAAGGAAGAGAGCAAGGAAGCAAGGGAGGGGGAAAGGGAAGGAAGGAAGGAAGAGAGCGAGAAAGGAAGGAATTTTGCCTCGTATCCATCCAAACCCTTGCACTAGTAGGAAGGGAGGAACTGGAAAACATAAAAAGGAGCCAAGGCCAAATTTGATAAGCCCCGCCTTTTTCTGGGACTTTTGTGAATAGCGGGTTCATAATCTCATCTCCGGCCTGCTGATTAGAGTCACATTAATAGACATCTCAGACATTCCAAACCAACAATCTAAACTAATAGGAATACTGACTAAGACGGAACGCTTGTTACCAACTCTGTAATCGCTGTAATTAAAAACATGCAAAGTATTTTTCTTTAACAACACCATCATTAACGAGGCTCGTTAGCACAGCTGCCTTATTAATTCCTCATCAGCACCGGGTGCGCTTTTTTTTTCTTTCCTGGCCGCGTCCGTGCGCAGCCCCGCCTCCTTCCTTCTCATAACGACCTTGGGTGTAATTAAATACCAAGTTTTGGCAGATCGCTTTCCCAATCTGACTTCCCATTCTGCTAAGCCGATTCTTTTCATGCCTTCCAGCAGCATCAGAAAGGTTAATTTTTCATGACTTAAAATAATCCGTCGTACTGTCCTCAATTAAAAAAAGATTTGCGGTAATTGAACATTGCAGTACAGCTGTTCTCGCCACAGAGGTAGAGATGGCGCGGGAGGGTTTCCTGAAATTAAAGCACGTTTTCCTTAAAGTGAAAAATGTGCTCGGTCGTTAACGCGCATTCACGTCAGACTGTGTACAAGTGGTGATTCATTTCCTCCAAAGAACCGTGCGCGGCTTTCCATGGGATGGAGGCTCGGTGTGAAAGGAGAGAAAAAAGAAACTTGAACCTGTAGGACAGAGGCGCCCACAATTTTTCGTCTGGAAATCTACTTTTCAAATGACGAGCTCAATGAGATCTACCAGCGAAATAACGCCTGCGTTCAGGGGCGGGAGGGGGCGTGGCAGTGCATTGAAGTCAATGGCACCGCAGCCACGCCCCCAGTGCAATCGCCACACCAGGAATGCAGGCACATTAGTGCCTGAGTTCCGGTTGCGGCCAATCACACTGAGGGTGGGGGGCGTGGCTGCGGTGCCATTGACTTCAATGCACCGCCACGCCCCCTCCCGCCCCTGAACGCAGGGAGCCGGCCGGCTTGCGTTCCAATGCTTTCTAGAGGCCGAACACTCTGGAACGCAGACTTTGTAGTTTGTACTGGCCCTCTCTTCTCTCTCTCCTCGCGCTCTCTCCTCTCTCTTTCCCGTTTCTATCTGCTGTCTCTTCTCTCACGTTCTCTGCTGTCTCTCTTCTCTCTCTCTGCTGTCTCTCTTCTCTCTCTCTGCTGTCTCTCTTCTCTCTCTCTGCTGTCTCTCTTCTTTCTCTCT